TTGAGCCACCGCACCCGGCGGTGAATGCCATCTTAAACCTATTGGAGATTGTTTTTATATTTAGATTTATATAACTGGTTATGTAAATATATTTAAATATTGGGGGAAATTCCTTCATTATCTCAGAGCCAGGCAAGATTCACATGTATTTTGTGTTTATTTGTGTCTTAAAGGCAAGGGATGAAGGTAAGGTAGCAATGTCTACTTTATAGTTTTGGCCTTAACTGTGCCAATCCAATTAGAATTTTCTGTATCTAAATGGTTCATTTTACTTATTGAAAGACATTTTAGTGTGGTTTATGTGTAATATCAAATAAATATTATTTAACACTTCTCACATAAAAAAAAAGAAAAGAAAAGAAAGAGACAGATTGTATCAAGAGGTGGCCATGGGCTGGGTACAGTGGCTCACACCTGTAATCCCAGCACTTTGTGAGGCCGAGGCAGAAGGATCACTTGAACCCAGGAGTTTGAGACCAGCCTGGACAACAGAGTGAGACCCTGTCTCTACAAAAAACTGGAAAATTATCTGGGTGTGGCACATGCTGTAGTTCTAGTGCCTCAGAAGCCTGAGGTGGGAGGAATCATTTGAGCCAGTGATGTCAAGGCTGCAGCGAGCTGTGATCACGCCACTGCATTCCATCCTGGATGACAAAGTGAAACCCTGTCTTTAAAGTAAAATAAAATAAAATAAAAAAGAGCTGGCCAAGCAAAGAAACAACTAAACTTTTCAGATACTGCTGATAGGCAAGTACATTGGACAATCACTTGGAAAACTGTTGGACAGTATCTACTAAAGTTGAATGCATTTACAAGCTATGACCCATCAATTCCACTCTTAGGGGGTACAACCAACAGAAATGTGTACCCAGGTTCACCAAAAGACATGTACTATACTAAAATATTTGTATCATAACTATCCTATAGCACCAAACTGGAAACTGCCCAAGTATTCCTTTGCAATACTGTAGAAAAACAAATTGTGGTATACTCATATAATGGAATACTGCAATGCAAAATAGAATTGTCTATAGGAACAGGAGGGATGAATCTCACAAACATCATTGTGATAGAAAGAAACTATACACAAACATGTCTATACTTAATGAGAGTTTCTATAAAGTAAAAAAACAGGCAGAACTAATCTATGCTATTGGTAATCAGAACAGTAGTTACTCTGAGGGGTAAATGACTAGAAGCAAGAGAGGGAGGGGTTGATGACTAGAAGTGAGCAGGCAGCTTGCTTGCAGGGGCCAGTAACATTCTATTTCTTGAGCTTACATGAATATGTTCATGGGAATGTTCAGTTTTTGCAAATTCATCAAGCTGTATGCTTGTGACTGAATACATTTCCTTATAGATACTATTTTTCAAATTTAAAATTACTTTAAATCCACAGAGACAGAAAGTAGATTAGTGATTGCTGGGTTCTAGGGAAAGGCGGGATGGGGAATGATTGCCAACACAAACAGGGTTTCCTTCTGGAGTAATAAAAATGTCCTGGAATTAGTGGTGATACCTGCACAACCTCGTGAATACACTAAAAACCCTTGTATTACACATTTCAAAATGGTGAGTTTTATGGCATGTAAATTATAACAATAAAAATATTATTATAATAAACATTCTTGTAAGAGCTTTTGTGCCCATGTGAGGATATATTAATATCTATAGGTTATAAGATATGTTATCAGACAACTCTACTAACTGAAAGTTTCCAAGGGACCTAACGTAAAACACCAGGAGCTGCTGGACAATTACTGTAAGACATATAGATCTTTAGGCCGGGCGCGGTGGCTCAAGCCTGTAATCCCAGCACTTTGGGAGGCCGAAGCGAGTGGATCACGAGGTCAAGAGATCGAGACCATCCTGGTCAACATGGTGAAACCCCATCTCTACTAAAAATACAAAACATTAGCTGGGCATGGTGGCGCGTGCCTGTAATCTCAGCTACTCAGGAGGTTGAGGCAGGAGAATTGCCTGAACCCAGGAGGCGGAGGTTGC